CTCTCTACCCCTGATCCCCTCGTGCTCCACCCCCTCCCCCTCCCCCTTGCCCCCAACCCATTCACATCCTCTTCCCCATCCCCTTGCTCCCCCTTCAATGTCTCCGCCTTTTCCCCTCCCTGCACTTCCTCAATTCCCTCTGACCCCCTGCTCCTTTCCCCTTCTCCCTTTCCCCTTTTATCCCTCCCTCCATCACTTTTCCTCACCCTTCCCCATCCTACTCCCCTCCCCATCACCTTCCCCATTCCTCTCCATCTCCTGTACTTATCTCCACCCTCCCTCTCCTCCTCCCTCCCTCTTCCCTTCCCCATTCCTTTTGCCCTCTCTCCCTCCCCATCCCTTCCTCTCCCTCTCCTCTTGATCTGCCCCTTTTCCACCTTCTTCCCTCTCCCTCCTTTGCCCCCTCCTCCATCATCTTCCTTCTTCCATTTCCCGTAATCTCCTTGTCCCTCCCTCCTTTCCGTCCCCCTCCTTCCCTCACATCCTCCACTTCCCCTCCCCAATCTCTCACCCTTCTCCCCCACCCTGCCTGTTTCTCAGTCCCAGTTCTCAGTCCTTTCTTCATCCTCACCCTAATCCCACCCCAAACTCTCACCCTCACCACCATCTACCTCCCTGATAGTCGTTTATCAAAAGAGGGAAGGCTGCCCAGAGTCCAGGGGCCCTTCTGAACACTAACTCACCACTTAGGAGCCCCCTTCCCTCTGGTAACTGACATAACTGACAGTTCAACCTGCAGGGATGATGAGGTCACAAAGCCCTCAGGATTCCCCAGGAGATGACCGGCCTCCTTTGCCATCCTATCCCAGCTCAGCTGGATCTTGCCAGTCAAGGGTGTGTCACACCAAGGACAAGCTGGCTGAAGGCTAAGAGGCCAACAGAAAGGGGAACACTCAAAGGTGAAATTAAGGATGCAAAACTCTCTTAGGCAGAGGTTCTCGCAGTCATGCTCCCTGGGGAGAAAGGAACACCCTGAGAAGTGGTACAAACTTGAGCTGGGCTTGCCCATAAAAAATAGGTTGATATAAGAATCATCTCCATTTCTTTCTGAACAACTGGGTGGTGACGGTGTGTGTTTGGAGCCTCCAAACTCAGGCATTGCAAATTCAGCTTGGAGCTGATAAGAATTTGATCCCTGAATTTGAGAAAAACATCAACCTTTGCAAAGGGACTTATTTGCCCACTTGAAAGTACGGATCTCCAAATAATTCAGGCAAATCAAAAGGCATTTATTAAGGGGGAATCAAGTCCTTTTGTAGGGTACAGAAACAAATGATACATACTTTCAGTATATGTGACACGTCTGTAAGCAAATGATCAAACAATAAAAGACACTGATTACACGTGAGACCTGAACAGCTGAATAGAATAGAATAGAGCTGGAAGGGACCTTGGAGGTCGTCTAATAATCCAGCCCCCTGCTCAAGCAGGAGAACATATACAGTCTCATACAAGTGACTGTCCAGTCTCTTCTTTAAAAACCCCAGTGATGGAGCGCCTACGATTTCCGGTGGCAAGCTGTTCCACTGGTTTATTTTCCTCAATGTTAGGAACTTTCTCCTTAATTCCAGGTTGCTTCTCTCTTTGATCGGATTCCAACCATTGTTTCTTGTCCTGCCCTCTGGTGCTTTGGTGAATAACGTGACCCCCTCTTCTTTGTGGCAGCCCCTCAAATAGTGGAAGACTGCTATCATGTCTCCCCTATTTCTTCTTTTCTTTAGACTAGCACTAGCCATACCCAAGTCCTGCAGCCATTCTTCCTACGTTTTAGTCTCCAGCTGAAAATGTGGTTCTAGATAATATTCCACAAGGGGCAAATTTATGGGTTACATGAGTCTTTCCCAGCTGGGAGCCTTTCTTTCTGTTGCTAAGTGAGACACTGCAGTTGGTAAGTTAGTAACATGGTTGTTAAGTGAATCTAGCTTCCCCGTCATCTTTGCTTGTCAGAAGGTTGCAAAAGGGGATCACGTGACCTCGGGACACTGCAACCGTCTCAAGTATGAGTCAATTCCAAGTGTCCAAATTTTGATCTGCAAGGGTCATAAGTGTGAAAAATAACCATGTCTCTTTTTCCCCGTGCCATTATAACTTCAAATGGTCACTAAATAAACTGTTGTAAGTCAAGGACTGCCTATTAAAAACACGTGGCTTTAGTGGCTCCTGGGAGCACTGCACCGCTTCAGCAATTGACCAGCTTGAGGGAGGACATTGCCTTCAAGCATTTTTAATCATAGGCAGCCTATTCTTGTCTGGGATTGTCCTTAAGTCAAATGTTCTTAATCCAGTTCATGCGGACGTTGACACACAGAGATTGAGATGGCAATGAAGGGTAAGTGCCCACATCTGCTTTATTGGGATAGGATAGGATAGGATAACAGAGTTGGGAGGGACCTTGTAGGTCATTAATAATAATAATAATAATAACAACAACAACAATGTGGAAAAAGTTGTTGAGAATGAGAGAGTGAAGATCTTGTGGGACTTTCGAATACAGACAGATCGCCATTTGGAACACAATACACCGGATATCGCAGTTGTAGAGAACCGGAGCGTACAGTTGATTGATATCGCTGTACCAGGAGATGCCAGAGTCGAAGAAAAAGAACTGGAAAAAATGACGAAATATCGCGACCTGGCCATCGAAACTGCACGATTATGGATGAAACGTGTAACAGTGGTGCCCATTGTCAACGGGGCACTGGGAACTATGTCCCAAAACTTTGTAAAATACATCAAGAAACTGCAGCTTCCTGCAATAACCCCAGCAATGTTACAAAAAACTGCGCTACTCGGAACATCTTATATTTTAAGGAGGTACCTGGTTGACACCTAGGATGCTGGTAGCAACCCATGTCAACCATCAGCGCCAGCCAATTTGAATGTTCAGTTGACTGAGGTTCATGTTTAATGAATAAAAGATAATAATAATAAAGTTGGAAGGGACCTTGTGGGTCATCTAGTCTAACCCCCCCCACCCAAGCAGGAGACCCTACACCATTTCTGACAGGTAGCAGCTCAATCTCTTCTTGAAATGTTCTTGATGTGTTCATCATTAACATAAAATAGTTTCCAAATCATTTATACAAATTCATAGCTATTTTAGCAAAAAAAAATTTACACCTTCCTTTTGATTGCAAATATGTAAGCCAATAAGAGACATGTCCTTCTACTCCTCTTTGGATTTGAGGGCAGGTACATCATAATTAAAATGTGTTATTTGACCGTAAATCCATCAGTCTGGACAGCCATTTGTCTGGAATGGTATAGGATTTCTTGCTTGAGCAATGGGTTGGACTGGGTGACCTCCAAGGGCCCATCCAGCTCTATTCCGATTCTGACTTTGACCAGAACTCACTCACTGATCTGCTATCGCATGTCAATAGGCTATTGGTCATCCCAAAGATGTTTTTTCACAAGGCAACTGGACTTGTTTTTCCTTCTTCAGCTCTGAGTGGAAGGTGGGCAATGGAAGGATTTATATTCCTTGCAGACAGCTGGTCATTTGTATTCTTTTATAGTGCAAATGGGTGTGGAGACTTCTTGGAACTGCTGAAAGGACTTTGTTGAAGACTGTAGGTAGATGATGATACCCTTCCCGTAGAGAGAGAGAGAGCTGTTAAATTTTGACACAGAGGGCCTCTTTGACCCCTTTCAAGCCAGCGGTACTCTCCGTCCAAAATGTGGACTTTGCTGTCTTTAAAAGAATGGCCTTTGTCTTTTCATTGGGGAAAACAAAACAGCCACTTCATAAATGCATGGCACAACATAGGAGAACAAACCTATCAGGACAAGATTCAGCAGCCAATCTGCATTTAAAAGACAAAGGCCGCTCTTTTGAAGACAGCGAAGTCCATATGTTGGACAGAGAGGGTTAGGGTACACACCCATTTCCACTACTCAAGTGATTCTGAGTACACAAATAAACCTCCAAGTGGCCTCAGCGACTCTCTAAAAGAATGCAAATGATCAGGTGTCTGTAAGGAATATATATCCTTCTCCACCATCCAGTCAGAGCTGAAGAAGCTTCTTGGATGAGAAGCGAAAAGCCTTCAAAGAAACAAGAAAGTCCAGTTGCCCCTTGAAAAAGCAGCTTGGATTCTTAGTTCGTTTTGAGACTGCCATTTATTCTGAAAAATCTAGCACACTCTGTGCATTTATAAACTTTATTCTCTGTGTAAAGTTTATAATTTTTACTGAGACCTATTTTGACTGAAACTTTTCCCACACATCATAAATTATTAGGTATTTTCTCCCAAGTGAATATTTTGATAACTTCTGAGATTTTTGTTTGCTGTGAATGATTCTCCACACTCCAGGCATCTAAATGGTTTCTCTTCTGAATGGAATCTTTGATATCTATAAAGCTTTTCTCTCAGTGAAGCTGTTTCCACATTCCAGGCATTTATAGGATTTTTTTCTTGTCTGAATAGTTTGATGTCAACTGAGGTGTAAAACTCTTTCCACACTCCAAGCACTCATAGGATTTCTCTCCAGTGTGAAATCTTTGATGTCTATAAAGGTTTCCCCGCAGAGTGAAGATCCTTCCACACTCCAGGCATTTATGGGGTTTGTCTCCCATGTGAATTCTTTTATGACTATAAAGGTTTCCCTTCTGAGTGAAGCTCTTTCCACACTCCAGGCACTTATAGGGTTTCTCTCCAGTGTGAATTCTTTGATGCTTATAAAGGTTTCCCCTCTGAGTGAAGCTCTTTCCACACTCCAGGCACTTATAGGGTTTCTCTCCAGTGTGAATTCTTTGATGCTTATAAAGGTTTCCCTTCTGAGTGAAGCTCTTTCCACACTCCAGGCACTTATAGGGTTTCTCTCCAGTGTGAATTTTTTGATGTGTATAAAGGTTTCCCCTCAGATTGAAACTCTTTCCACACTCCAGGCATTTATATGGTTTTTCTCCTGTGTGGATCCTTTCATGTTTATAAAGGCTTTCCCCCTGACTAAAGCTCTCTCCACAGTCAGGGCACTTATAGGGTTTGTCTCCAGTGTGAAGTCTTTGCTGTCTATAAAGGTGTCCCTTCTGAGTGAAGCTCTTTCCACACTCCAGGCACTTATAGGGTTTCTCTCCAGTGTGAATTCTTTGATGATCATAAAGGTGTCCCCTCTGAGTGAAGCTCTTTCCACACTCCAGGCATTTATGCAGTTTTTCTCCTGTGTGGATCCTTTGATGTACATAAAGAGTTCTTTTCAGACTGAAACTCTTTCTACACTTGGGGAATTTATGCTGTTTCTCTCCAGTGTGAATTTTCTGATGATTATAAAGGTTTCCCCTCAGA